TCACAGAGGCTCCCCTGAACCCCAAGGCCAACAGAGAGAAGATGACACAGGTACCGTCGCCCGCCCGCCACCCCTCGCTCGCATCTTGTTTGCAAACCTCCTCTCGTTACGGCATCTTAAACCTGAGTTTGTTCTTTGTTTTTTCTCCCGACGTTTTCAGGGTTCTGTACTCCTGGCATTTCTTCCCTGACGCCTCAGGTTTCTTTCATTTGTGTTTCTGCCTGCATTCTTTGCCTTTTTTTTTTTCCCCTCACACACTGGTTTGGTTTTTTTGCATGTCAGCATGCGTGTTCTAACGTGGGTGCGTGTGACCCAGCTCATTACTTGGTGCTAATTGATTTTTTTTTTTGCCTTCCAGATTATGTTTGAGACCTTCAACACCCCGGCCATGTACGTGGCAATCCAGGCCGTGCTGTCCCTGTACGCCTCTGGTCGTACCACTGGTATTGTTATGGACTCCGGGGACGGTGTCACCCACACCGTGCCCATCTACGAGGGTTATGCTCTGCCCCACGCCATCCTGCGCCTGGACTTGGCTGGCCGTGACCTGACAGACTACCTCATGAAGATCCTGACAGAAAGAGGCTACAGCTTCACCACCACAGCCGAAAGGGAAATTGTCCGTGACATTAAGGAAAAGCTGTGCTACGTTGCCCTGGACTTCGAGCAGGAGATGGCCACTGCTGCCTCTTCCTCCTCCCTGGAGAAGAGCTATGAGCTGCCTGACGGCCAGGTGATCACCATCGGCAATGAGAGGTTCAGGTGTCCAGAAGCTCTCTTCCAGCCTTCCTTCCTGGGTAGGTGTGGGCCGGGGCGGTGCTGCTACGGTTGCCTCCGTGGTTTGGGGTTGGCGTGACCCAAAACCGAGGTGCTGCGTTGGGTACTAACGAACCCGCAACTCTTCTCCCCAGGCATGGAGTCCTGCGGCATTCACGAGACCACTTTCAACTCCATCATGAAGTGTGACGTGGACATCAGGAAGGACCTGTACGCCAACACGGTGTTGTCTGGTGGCACCACCATGTACCCCGGCATCGCCGACAGGATGCAGAAGGAGATCACAGCCCTGGCGCCCAGCACGATGAAGATCAAGGTAAGAAACCTCCTTCATCCCGCAGCGGATGGTGCAGGGGGGAGGCGGGAGAAGGCCGGGCCGCTCTGACCGTCGCTGCTCTCCTCTTGCAGATCATCGCTCCGCCTGAGCGCAAATACTCCGTCTGGATCGGTGGCTCCATCCTGGCCTCGCTCTCCACCTTCCAGCAGATGTGGATCAGCAAGCAGGAGTACGACGAGTCCGGCCCCTCCATCGTCCACCGTAAATGCTTCTAAACGGACTGCTGGCAGGGGCGCCGCGCCTGCTGCATGAGTTGTCTCACTAGTATATGTTTGCCCAGGCAAATCTATACACCTCATGCTAGCCTCATAAAACTGGAATAAGCCTTTCAAAAGAAACTTGCCCTTGGAAAGTCTGTACCTGATGTTAGACTAAATGTCAGCACTGGATGCTCGAGCTGTCACTTGATTTGACCTTGTTATTCGAGTTAACTGTTCCCTCGGCGTACCTGAGCGAAATACCCTGTACAGATCCGCTCCCGGCCGCGGGGCTGGCGTGGCACCTCGCCTCGGAGGGGAGCCCGCGGCTGACTGGGGTTCCCGCAGCTCGCTACACTGACAGTGGCCCGTCGCCCCGGGCTGGGACCGGTGTGTACAGGGTATTTGGAGTCAGATTTTTTTTTCTGCCGTACATCCAGTGTGGAGTATTCCAGATTTCCTGTAGAGGCTGGTAGGAGTCCATCGAGAATTCACTTCTGTCGCTGCCGTTCTAGCAAGGTTGGGAAAACATATCGCATCCGAGCCTTACGAACCAGTCTTCATTCTCCTCCCCACCCGTATCCCAGTCGACATCACAGGGCTGAAGTTCCTCAACTTGAGTTGCTGAAACTTTGCATTTACACCTGTAAATTTATGCATCGTTTAATTTATGTAAGATTTTTGTACGTTGCCTTAATGTTCTCACATGACGGTAGGAAACCAAAATTTGTAAGTCATCCTAAAGTTGAGAAATTGTAATGCCCAACAACACATCATTGTGTAAGGAAAAATAAAAAAGCGCTGCAGTAAACTCCACCTGGGGCTGTGTGTGTTGGTGGGGAGGGGGGCTGCGTGGGGCCTCCCCAGGACAGGGTGACACTGTCCCCCCCTGTCCCCTGTGGGACCTGAGCTCGGGCTTCCCTAAGAAGCTGTGATGGGGCTTTTGGGGTTAAAAAGGGGGTTAAAGCAAGGGGGAGGGGGGTGATGGGTGCTGCCGTTGGCCCAGGGCAGAGCTGGGTGCTGCCGGAAGAACCGGTTGGGTGCGGATGGTTTGGCATGGCTGGTGCAGGGTGCTGTGAGCGGCTCCCCGGGGTG